CCATTGAGAAAAATTGCAAATTTACTGCCATAAGAGGATTCCAATTCTTTCCTCTATTTTCTTCAGTTCTCCTCAGGGAATACCTTTCACAGCTGTGACCCCTGGCTTTTCGTATTAAGGTCTGGCAACTTACCACTATGATCCTGGGTTTTAAACAGAATGGTCTTATGCAAATAGTTTCTAAAACTTTATTCCTCTACTTTGTGTGCAGGTGCTATACACCTTTTTAAAACCAAAACTTTGTTCATTGTTATTAATACATGTACTGATCTAAATAGAGAACGAATGTACTATAAACAATAAAATATATTCTATGCTTAGGCAAAACATATCATGTAAAATCATTAAGATAACAAGTTATCTTGCAAACTGCCTACCAAATTACTTATTTGATGGTTTTAAAGAAATCAGTATTATGAGATTATAATTTAAAATTTCTCATCTGTAAACATTTTTCTGTATTTACTAAATTTAAGCATATACAGTCTAGGCGTTTATGATAACCAGAGAGTAACAAAAGTGAATTAATAAAATATGAATCTTATTCCAACTGTCTTGTCAAACCAGGTAATGATGTCTTGCCAGCCAAACTCAGAGGGAACATGTGAAACAAATACAAAAGTAAACAGGCCTTAAGCTGCCTAAGGGAAAGTCAGCAAGATGGCAATTTCAATCATTTGGAATAATACTAAAGCAGCCCTAGGCTTTTCTCAGAATGGAAACATGTCACTGTTACTGCAATATTTCAACAAATCAGAATGCAAAAGAAAGGAACACTTATGTAATCACATCAGTGGAACAACACTTTACTCAACATTTAAGTGGAAAATAATTATGAGGAAATTCCCTTTATATGAACAGCTGTAGATGAAAATAAAAGGACTCTGTAGATGAAAATAAAAGGACTATACATAATCAACATTTCCCCAGAGGTCTACAGGCATTTAAAAAAATCCTATACTTTAGAAATGGTTTCCTTTATTTTTGATAAAGAAGGGTTTTGAAATGATAATGAAAAAGTTATATCAAAGAAAACTGTGAAAGTGAGATTAATTTATTTAAAAAAACCTATTAAAATCTGATAAAATTGGACTCAATTAGAAGCACAGAGAAAACAAAAAGTAATTTCAAGCCATATTCTACCAGAAAGTCTGACTACATTAAATAGGTTGTCATATCATTTAACTGAGAAATCAAGAAATACTTCAAATATTTGGGGAACTTACCTAATCAGTAAACTTTCAGTATGTGTCTAGTTATGTAGTCATCTTTTGGTCAATCATCAGAAAATCAAAGGCAAATTGGCATGACTCAACACAAACTTTAATACCGCATGATTGTGTCGTGTAAGCTTGTTTTGTGCGAGGGCTGCTGTGGTTTTAGCAGAGAGATTAACAACCGGACCTAAGCTGGCCTCCAAACCTTGCCCTGCTGATGCCTCAAACCCTTTGAAGTCTGACCATCATACCTGGCAAAACAACAGTGGGAACTAGGCTGGTGTCAGATCTAATCAAGTTGCCTGCCTCAGCATAGCTAACTATGGGGTACACTAATTGGCCCAATTGCGGATTATACCTTTCGCTACAGATTCAAGACAATAATTTAGTCAAATGATGGTTTTTATCTCCTTCTAATTAAGATTCCAAAGTGGGAAGAAATAGGATTAGACAGGCTAACTTAACATTGTGTGTCCTTTAAAGTAGCATGCATATTAGATAGTTTTTTTCTGATATTTTATATATAATATTTTGCCACTAAACAAGTAAAGGTTTTGGGGAATCTAGAAAGTGCTATACTTTTTATCATATATCCATTTTACAAATAGTTGTTATTATTTAAGAAGACTCATATGGAGCATATCTTTAAAAGCTAACCAAAAACTTGCCAAACCTTAAAACTTACCAAACCTTAAAACTAAGAAACATCCTTGTAAAACAACTATTTTAACTTTGGCAAATTGTGTGATACATTTAACAACTAAACTGTGCCATAAAGTGCTAACACCATTTCTATGAAACAATAAAATCTAAAACAGGTATGACACCTATGCTTTCTCACTGATGAGAGCCAAACTGTATGTAGTTAATCTTACTGGTGAGCCCCAGATTTGCTATTCACAGTAGATAGATTAAAAGTTGACAGTATGATGATACAGGAAATTTGACAGCTTTTCTGTGATTACAATCAGGAGATAAAAAGCCTTTTTTCCCAAGCACATTACACATGTTGGCACTGAGAAATAATAGTCTAGTGACGAAAACCTCCTTGAAGCAATCTGTCACAAGTCACGTGGTATGAATTCCTATCTCAGCAATTATAATCTGTTTTTAGGTATGTGTATTCAAAGTTCAAAACCATCATCCCAAATAGGTTTAACAAACTATACAGGCAACCCCCACTTAGTGCTCTTAACTGGTCCCTGAAAAAACAAGTGTTAAGCGAAACCAAAAGTATATGACAACCCAAGATGACAACCACAAGTGTTTTTAATGACCTAAGATGGCGACCGCTATAACGAAACTCGCTGAGCGATTAGTGAAATTAGATATCAATTTAAAGCGCTACACCAATTGGAGCACTACACCAAAATAGCGCTAAGTGAAACAACGCTAAGCGAAGGTTGTCTGTACAAAGATTTTGGTGAGCGGGGTGACACCTCCTCTTTATTTGTTCTCCAAGATGTCACCCTGCCCTGCCTTGTGCCTGACGTCAGATTAACACGGTTAACTGCTCCTCCTTACAAAAATACTGTGATACTGTCTAAAATAGTTTACATAGTTAAATATATTTTCTTATTTTACCAAACAAGACTATAACTGTCTAAACTGTATCTGTTCAGATGACATTGTTTTGTAATAACATACCTTGTTTGATTGGGCTTATGTTTTTGATTGGAAATAAATTGCTGACCCGTCACTTACTGACTACAGTAACCAGTTTTGAACTATTCTATTCAGAAATTCCATTTTTTTCTTTATTTCCCCCCCTTTTTCCAAAAAACCTTCTTGCCCTGGGCAGAAAAATATACTTGGCCTTCCCATTTAATACAGAAAGGAGTAGTTTATGTAGTTTGATGTAGAGGAATATCACAGTAGGATAATGATTCCATTTGTTAAAAAAAGAACTGGCTTGCCTCAGTGAGGCTTGTAGAAAGTTTATCCACAACAAGAACTTAAAGTGTTTTCAAAATGGGCTTCAAAAGGGGTCCCATTTGAACAATGATGGCGGAAATTGTTAAAATGGTCGTCCACATATTTGTACAGTATCAATTTTTTTCAAAGATTCTATTACACAACTAATTCAGACTCCTTTATTCATTGGCTAATGACATTTTTATATGGAGCCTCTTGGTTTGGTTCTATAGAAATATAAAGCTCCAATCTTCTTATTTAGGCTTCATGTTAAGAAACAGTCAAATATTCCAATACACAGCTAAAGGAAGTGTGAATTCAATAAAGCAGAAAATGATGTGGCATGTCTGCTTGTATTACTGAAGCTACAGCTCTGTATTTTAAAACCTAGCATGAAAAATAGGTTCACTCACTTTCAGTATAGAGTAAACAAGCCTGATAGTCTTGATAAAGTTAAATGATGTTAAAATAGTTTAAATCACTACAATGCTTGGTTCCATTAACTGTATTTTCTGAGAAATGAAAAAAAAGAAAAGCATTTGTGTTTAGGAAAAAAACACAGGCTTCTTCATGCAATTGCCTTTAAATGGCTTTTCAAGGGAGTGTCTCTAGTTGAAAAACTTCTAGCACTCATGCAGAGATGACCTGCTTGAAGAACTGGCTGCCTGATTAACTATTAACTACCCTCAATAGGATTAGATAATTAAGGACATTGATGACCATTAATTAGGAGGAGGGCATCTTAATTTGTCACTTGATAGGGCCCTTTCAATGATTTATAGGTTAGGGCTACTTGCAATTGTGAAGAGGGAGAGAGGAGAAAAAAGGGAGAGAACTCTTAAGTTACCTTATCAAGTGGCCAGCTAAAGAGGGCAGAGGGTCAAATAAGGGCCAAAGTGGTCACTTAAGGGTGAAGTCCCAAACACCAAAGCAGTGCCAAGCCACATTGACCATCATTTGGTGATGAAGTAAAAAATATGCTAATTTATTGGTGGCAATTCTCTCTTTTTATGGTTTCAAGCAGTTAAGACAAGTGGCCTGCTTAAGAGCTTTTCATTTGAAAAGAGATTAAACAAAATGGTTTGTCAGGGCTGCTTGGCTGTTTTATGTCTTTGTTAAAAAATTGTGCAGACTGTACTGATGACTATCACATCACCCAAAAAGCCATCTCCGTTCTCTGAGCATTTACTTGGTTAATAAATACATCTACTCTAATTGCTTAATAGTTCTATGTTCATTTTGCTCTTTAGCAAGATTAAAATGAAATACATCTTTTGTATTGCTGCCTTCTATCAGGACTGTCTGAATAAAGGTCACAGGAAAAAAGTTTAAATTTAGTAGAAAATTTACTTAAGGACATTAGTGAAAATGATACTGTGTTTAAAATGACATAAAAGAGCTAAAGGTGATTTCAGTAATGCAAAGAAAATGGCTTCTGAATACTGATAAGGACACTTATCCCTCATGCCACACACAATTTTAGACAGTGTTATACATTAAATTCTCTCAACTGGGGTAATAACATGTAGCTTCTTTCCCACCCACTAACACAACTAAGAGCAAGTCATTAACATTTAATTAAACATGTTCCTGACATCCTTAGAAATATGTCATGCTTTGTTATTGAAGGTTGTGGCCTACTTCCTATGTACATTTTAAAACAAAATAAACTGTATATGCATAGTCTAAATTGCTGTAGCATAGGGAACATTTTTAGATAACATTATATCCTATAAAGCAATTCTCAATAGGAAAATTCTACTTAAATAGACATACAGTATCTGATGCAAATATAACATATTTCAAAAAAGAGAGAAGTTAGCTCCATTTTTCACATTCTAAATATAGTGAAAAAACTGGTTCTCTTACCTCAATGGTGAATAGCTTCCTTTTTAATCTAAAAGCCAGGTCCTTCGTGTCTGATACATCACAGATCAAGCAATTAAGCTGAGGAATCTGGTGTATATGAATCAAGCCTTGTTGAAATAAAAGTAAAGAAGGAAAAAAAAAAGAAATGCTGTTATCCAGATGCATAAATTAAAGAGTCTTACAGCAGAATTCTGTATATTTACACACACTCATCCTCCCCTTTTTAAACTGAAGCTTACTACCAGGAGCAATGAAGCAAACGGTGCGATTATACTCAAGTAATCAAGCAGAATAAGATAAACAGAAATCCTTGTGCGAGGAAAACTAATTGCACTTTGCTACAGAAGTACAGATGTAAAGAGGGATCTTAATACTTGTCAAAACTACAGCCGGTTTGTGTGTGATTTTCTCTTGTATTTACAGTAAGCAAATATGGCTATCACCTTGCATGCTGCCCACGGCACCACTGAGTGATCTTTATTTTATTAAATGCACCAGTAAGCAGCCAGCAAAACAAGACATGGGCTACTGATAACCAGTGAAGCTGTAATGAAAAGTATTTCATTGTGCACCTTGATAATGACTTAAAAAACCCCCTGTTGTTAACAACAGCATTTTGGAACACACTCTTTGATACATTTTAACTCCTATATCATGCGAACACAAGGGAGAGAGGTTTAGATAGCTGCTACAGTTTTTATAACAGTACACTTATGTACATTGTGAGCTCTGCATTCTGTCAGTGGAAACTCAAGTTGATTTTTTCTGACAAGGACGTTGGATGGTTTTTGTGCAGCCTAATATAGTTTGTGAATAAGCCAGGGGTCATTTTCTACAGTTGAAAACTAGAAATATTCTACAAGGCTTCTCAATTACTGGCCTACATTTGATAGTCACAAATCCAAAGTGTCTAAATGAAAACACTGGCAAATGCAGTGTTACATTAATTTAGAAATGGATCTCTCTTGAAAATAGCAGCTATAAAGAAAAAAAAATACAGCATGAAGTATGACATAAGATAAGCAACTTCCTTATTTTAAATATTGTTTTAAAAACAAGTATAACTTTTATATCAGCTATAATTTTTTTTTCATATTCTTTGAAAAATATTTTAGAGTAAAAAAAACCCCCAACAAACCATCTTTATCCCAATTCACTAAGGATTATGTACATAATTTAGTTCTGATGGAGCAGGTACAACCCAAGACAATTGTTTAAGTATTTTTATACATATTTAGTAAAGGAATATAAGTACCATTCTTACCTTGTCATTGGCCTTTCACAAACAATGTAAAATTGTAGGCCCCGTAAAATTATTAAATTAGCAAAATTAAGGAATTTTAAAAAAAGAAATTGCAATGTTATCAAAAGGTCTAATAAACGTTGTTTATCTGGACCCACAATCTTTCATTGTCTGCAGTTAATAATACATCATCATATAGGAAAGTTCTTAGGCGAGAATGTCTAAATCCATTAGACAATTTCTGATCTACATAACCTGATGAATTCTTAGTGGTAAAAAAGTTATCCATAAGAGGACCTAACTAATTAATAAAATTGGCTTTTCACAAGCCAAGTGTTTAATATGAATTCTTAAAGTAGGAAATAAATACTAAGAAAGCCATATTTTTCCTTAGAAGACACTACCAAGAAAAAATAGTAAATTCATGGAATCATATCAGAATGATCAAATGTCACAAAAGTCCTACAAAATTTGAAAAATAAACAGGCAAATTGTTTTGAAGCATTTTTCCTTGCAGCTGGGTTTTCAGATGCTACTTTTGACAATCAAACGTACGTTATATTTTCTTTATTCAAAAGGGTTGTACTCTAATTTATGAAAGTAGAACATCAACACATACAGCTGTACACACTATTCCTCAACACCATCTTTGCTTCATTTTCTGTAGCATGGAAAAAAAAAAAAACATTGCCACATTCTTACATGTTTACAGCAGGCTTCAAATAAGCAGTTCAGTCTTTAGACTAGAGGTTTCCATGGAACTACAGTAGTATCACAATAATAATAGCTGTAATTTATGCACACTCAGAGCACCACTCTGGATTAGCTAAAACTGTTTGTTATTCACTGGCTTGGGCTATGTATAACTTCTAATCTTGCAGATAGCTTTAAATAGCTTTGCTGCAAAAAGTTTTTATAAAATCTTTCTGCAAAGAACTACATGATTAAATACCAATTAATTTTGAAGATAAATAATTTGAAAGACCAGAAAAATAGTAAATGCCTATAAAAAAAAAAGTTTATTATATTTTTTGAATTAACAAATTTCTTCTTTTACTACAATGGATAGCATAACAGCCTAATTTAAAAGCAGTAAATAATATTTTTAGACATATTTTTGCATGCCGTATCATTTAGCAATTCATTCACTTTAATATAATAAATTATTTTCCCCCCATGTTCTCTATTTAAAACTTGGCAGATCAAAACTATTGATTTCATGACAAGTTCAGCTCACTGGTCAGATGATTGTCAAGCCTCCTCTGCATGTGAATTCCCCAAAGCCTGCCTGTTGAGATGTACATCTGATTGAGCCATGCCTCAGTAATATGGCTTGACAACATGCAAGGAGTTGCCATGTTTCCTTTGCAGCCTTAATGCACTTTACTGAAAAATTGCCTAACTCAAGACTGGTTAGCAAGGAGAAACATTTAAGAGGTATATTCCAAAATGAAATCAAATGATACCTAATGGCAGATACTGCAATTGGAGGGTAAGCTGTTAAGTGCCCTAGAAGCACTCAGGGTAGACTTTTTGCATTGCTAAAGATGGAACTTACCATGGTAATCCTTGTATAATGGATTGGTTTCTCTCTCAGAGCCAATAAATGATTCAAGAGCAACTACCGTATCTGACAAGTTTGTTACACGTTCCATAATTGCTTTATTCTGTAAGACATGGGAACAAAATACATATCCTATGTGGTGAAAAATGTAATTAATGTTCACAGAATAAGTCTCTCTCTTCTCAATGACAAACTGAAGTGAAAATAGGTCATCAATACCTAGAAATAACATAAAAATAAAAAGGCTTTAGTAATCTACATCTAAGGGAAAACATTCCCTCACTATGTATGAAGATATAGTAAAAGGGCTTCTTGGAGCCAAATTCCACATTTTTTCTAAATCTTATTGTAACTTATGCACTTATTTGTAAATAGGAATATTTTTACAGGCATATATTGGCTGTTAGATACCTAACTCTAACTGACTTTCTCTGAGAGCAAGATGCCCAACTACCACTTGTATTTTGGAAATCCTGCTAACTGTGGACATGAATTTTAATATAATATACACATTAGATATGCTATTACACACAAATGCATTTATTTACATGGTTAGCTGGAGAAGCGAAAGATAATGGATTTTATTAAAAATATGTAATATTTTCAGCCATTTGTATTTTTTTTTAAATCAGAAAGCTCAGCATACTATACTGTAATTCATATTGCCATTCTTCAATACATTTGTAAATTTAGCAGTGATTATCTTATATATTAAGAGTACATTACCATTTCTGCTTTAAATCAGCTACTCTGTGGATACATTTACATGTGCAATTAACACAACAAGATGTACTCCAAAGGCATATGAGCTGGAGTACACTGCTCTAGGCACAGTGTCTACACGTGTGCCCGAGAGCAGCAATTTGAACAGAGCAGCCCTGGACTGGCAGGGGACACAGTCCAGGTGGCAGCATCAGGTGGTGGAGGGGTTGGCAGGACCCGGGGGTCTAGCCCCTGGTTGGCTGGGCTGATCAGGCACAATCTGCACTCAGAGGTCACTGTCTGTACATACATTTGATCGCAGGTGCACACGCACCCCAATATTGGCAGTGCACCTGCCAACCAGCAATCAGCAACCACCCGTAGACACCGTCGACTGCCTGTGGGTGGTCACTGCTAACCACCCCTCCCTCGCCACCAACACCACCGGCAGCATCTGCAGGCAGTCGCCGATCGCTGCCACCAACGCTGCCGGCAGTGTCTGCGGGTGGTTGCTGACCGCTGGTTGGTGCTTGCCACTCACCCCCCACCCTGCCTCTCATACCACTGCAGCTGCCTACGGGAGCTCCCCACTTGCCACCGCCACTGCTGTCTGTGGGCGGTCAACGTGCCCCGCCCCAGCCTCCGGGAGCATGCGTCATTCATGGGTACACGTCTGCCTTTAAGAAAGCAGACAAGACTCCAGAAAAACCTGCAGCCAAGACTCCTGAGAAGACTCCAGCCAAGAACCCTTCAAAAAGTCCAACCAAGAGCCCTTCAAAAAGTCCAGCAGTCACCTCAAAGAATTCTTTCCAAATCAATATGGTTGCTATTTACAACATAAATACATTAATGTAGCTATATTACTCATCTATACTTGACTGAGTACAAAAATCTGGGGCATTTTTGGTGAAAATAGGGTATGGGGCCTTGGTTCAGGAACCAATCCCTCATTTATAACATTGTTTCCTGTGGGAAAATGGGTTCTGAGTTACAACGTTTCAATTTAAGATGCAGTTTTCAGGAACCAATTGTGTTGTAAGTCCGAGGACTGCCTGTACAGAAAATAAAGTATTTATCCTAAAGCAGTCTGCAAAGTCTTTATAGTCTATTCTTGATAATGGCCGTAAAATACACATTCAATACACTTCATACTTCAGATTCATAGATGTTAGGGTCGGAAGGGACCTCAATAGATCATCGAGTCCGACCCCCTGCATAGGCAGGAAAGA